TCCCCACCGAGGGCGGCTGGGAGAGGCCCCGACGCGGGACCGGGCCGCAGTGCAGCTTCGGAGTCCTCGTGTCTCTGCCTGGCTTATCGGCTGGCGGCCCAAACGGTGCTCCCAAGGAATTCATTTGCTTTACTCAGAATGAACGAACAAACAAACGAACATGAGTGCGTGACATGCAGTCAGAAACAGCGTGGAAGCAGCGTGGGGGCGGGCAGAGGCTGCCGGTGGCTGCTCGCTGCCCCCTCTGCCCCGGTACAACCAGGAAGCCCTCACCTCGAGATAAGCCAGCTGCTGCTCTTCCTGACGAGGCTTCTTTACATGAGAAAACAGGATGGGGAGCGTTGGGGAGGCTTTTCTGCGATGCTTCGCAACGCGGATACATTTCTGGCAGGCAGTCAGCCGCCTGCGGGCCGCTGGGGCTTCCTCTCGGCGGTCTCACCCAGGCTCCTGCCTCTCCGGTGCCGTCCTAACCGAGCCGTTGCCTGGCTTCGACCTGCAGGATGCCGGCTTGTTTACTCACGCTCTGACAGGCGCAGCCGAGACCTGGCCTGCAGCGGAGACGCCGAATGGGCCCGCGCGCCTTCCCAGGCCACGTGGCGAGCATTGCCCAGCGTGGCCTCTGCCACCGCCGGGCTTCCACGTGGCGTGCGCAGGACACAGGAGCGGACGAATGCCATGCGGTCTCCGTGCAGGAGGAGAGGAAGCGGCTGTGCCCGCACTCAGTGTGTTTGAGGTGTCAGGCGAGAGCCAGTGGCGCCGGACACCACGGCCCAGACTAATTTGCAGAGGCGCTGGGCTCTTCCCCTGGGCTTAGCGAGTCTCGACCTCAGTCCAGCCGAGCCCCGAATGCTTCCCGCTCAGGAAAAGTGGGCGAAACGTTCTGCCACATGTCGGGGAACTGGCTGCAGAGGGCATTCGCAGAGCAGGGCTGGGCAGTGGCAGAGAGCAAGGTGGAGAGCCGGTGCAATCAGCCGTCCGAAGATCAGGAGGCCTGGAGGACTGCGGAGGCCAGGCATCCGACTGCCGCTGGGCACGCCTGCCCTCTGCTGGATGGCTGAGCTGCCTTGCGTGAGCCGGGCCCCCGGCAGTGCTGCCGCCGTTTGGGTGGCCTCCCGGGTCGCAGGAGATGCTCCCACCGTGGCCGGGAACAGCTCTGTGCCCTTCTCCTCCTGCAGCGTCTTAAACCCGACCTCCCGTTTGCTACTCGGGACGGAGCTCCCTCCTCGCCCTCGGCTGGCATGTTCCTTCCGCCTTTTCTTTTCCACTCAGGATTTTCCTTAGTGCTTCGTGTTCTGCTCGCTGCTGAAGCGACTCAAGATCATGCTTTGTCACTGCAGCTTCTCCTCACGCTGCAGAGCCAGATTCCATGCCTCTCCGTGCTGCTCGCACTTTCTAAGGCTTCCTAACCTCACGCAGCATTCGGGGTCCCTCCTCCGGCCCAGCACAGCCGCTGTCCCACAGCCAGGGGGCCAGGACCCCGTGTGGGAGATCTGCTTGCAGAGCAGCACAGGCTGCAACCCTCATCCGACACCCGGGCGAGAAGCAGCATAAAAGCAGAGGCCTTTGACCTTCTGTTCCTAAATTGACTCACAGGAACATCCCAGGAGTAAAGTGTGAACAGTTCTTTTGAAGTTCATGTCTTCCTAGTTTCTTAGTTTGCTGCGTTGCAGCTTGATGCTGAAAAAGAAGAGGCAAGGTGCTTCTGTCCTGTCCCTGCCCTTTGCTTATTCTTCTCCCTACAAGCTGCGCATCTCAGGCTTCTGGACATCACCCAAGAGGCTAAAAATGGCCCATCTGCCACGGTGATGCAGGTGCCTTTGCAGAGTGCCTCTGTTCCTAGGCAGCCGGCTGCCGGATCCCAGCTGCTGACCCCGGGGGTGTTGCCTGGCCACAGTGCGCTAATAAAGTAACAGGGGAAGAGCTGCAGCATTTGCGGGGAGAGGAAGGCTTGGGGTCCGTCTAGAACAACTTCTTCGGTAGCCCCGAGAGGCTCCCACCCAGCCTGCAAGCTTCTTTGGCCCCAGTCTGTGTATGCAGAAGCCCCTGGTCAGACGCCTTCCATCTGCAGTTCAAGGACTGGGTGCAGGCGATGGAGAGGTCTCTTTCTGCCCCAAGCCCAGAGAACCAGCAGGAGGGGTAGGAGGGAGATCCTGGGCTGGATGGGCCAAAGGTCGTGCGTGCACCAGCTCAGCCAGAAGGTCCCCAGCTTCTTCCTGCTTCCCAACAGAGGGAGAAGCAGCAGCTGCCTTCCTTGGCCCACTGAACGTTGCAGCTAAGAATCCAGGCCAGGGTTTGCTTTATTCCTCCCCCACCCCACCCCCCAGTCTCCTTTCCTTTTGTATCATGGCTTTTAGCTGGACTGCCTTACTTCTGGGGGTCTCGAATGCTTTGAATGATGGAGGGTGGGGCCTTGCTGGCTGGTTGGTGGCAAAGATCCAAGTCCCTAAGCCAGAAATGCCCGGGGTTCTGTCTCGGCACAGGGCAGCAGCACCTTGTCTTCCGGATGTTGCTGGAGAAGGGGAAAATACCGCTGAATGATCGGCCAAAACTTGCCGCCCAACCCGTCCCCCAACAAGCAGGTGGTTCGAAACCAAGCCGGGGGATCAGTGGGATCAGCGGGGCATGTGCTCGAACGCGTGCTCTCCTCCGGCACGGCATCCCGCTTCCGGCCACAGGCCCCTACGAGCCGCACAGCCTGGCAGGCCCCAGCCGGCGTGTGGCGTGTGGAAGCCAAGAGGCGGCCGCCCCCTTTCCAGCTGCGTTTGGAGTCGACAGATGTGCTGCGAGTCGGCAAGCAGAGCCCGAGACTCGAAAGCGCAGGCTGTGCCAGGGCCGCTCACGTCTGCCACGTGGCACATGCTCCGGCGCTGGAGGAATCCCCGCGGTGTGTCCGCCCCGTCAAAGGCATTTTCTCCGTGCAGGCAGGCAGGCAGGCAGGCTGCGGCTGGTGCGTAATCGCTTTCCTTTTCGGGCCCCAGGGCTCGGACGTCCAGCGGCACGTTTGGTTCTTTCAACAGGATGACCTAATCAATGGAGCCTCCCAGTGGAGGAGCAGTGCACCTCGATGCAGAAGCTGGACGAGCAGCAAAGGAAGGCTATCATGTGCCTGCCCTAGTTGGGGGACACTTCTGCAGGACAAGGAGGGAAAGACGTCTCCGGAAGTCTGGGGCCTCGGCTGACCCATGGCTGTGCTGCAGGGGCTTCTGGGAGTTGAAGCTACAGACATCTGGAGCCCTGCCCCCTGCCACACCTGCCCTAGACAGCCTGCAGTTGGGGGCGATGCTGCGTGAGACGAGGGCCGGTCTGATTCCGCGAGGGTGGGACTGCTGCACGATTGCACGATCTCGCAGAAGAGAGAGATGCTGGCCCAGGGCATTCAGGCAAAGGTTTGTGCTCTGTGCCAATTGCTGCATTTCTGTGGAATGGGAAATACTCTGCACATGATCAGAGACACAGCCTGCGTTTTGAGGGTCCTTGCACAGTGAAAGAGATCTTGGCTGACTGATCCCTGGAGGCTTTGGCCAGCTGAGCCATTGATTCATTGGTCTTACCTGTGCCTGCGCTCTCCGAGTTCAGGGGGAAGGAGGGGAGGTCTGGGTGGGGAAATGCCTGGCGGAGAAGGCCTAGGCTTGCTTCTCCGGCAAGGGAGTCCGGCGGCCTGGGGTCCAGCCGGCCCCCCGGGGGCCTCCTCTCAGCCAGCGGCGGCATTCAGAGAAGACCTGCTGAGGACGGTCTTTGCAGGAGGAACCGGGAGGATTCTCTGTCCCTTCCGGCTTGCAGCCGGGGCACATGCCTTTGGAACGTGCTCCCTGCATGAGGAAAACGGAGTGCTCTTACGAGGCTCTCTGCCAGCCGTGTTGTTGCCTGTGTCTTGGTTTGCTGGGAGCGTTCACACATTTTAAATGCAGAGTGCCCATTGGTGGGTGCTGCAGACATCAGCCTGACACAGCTGGGTGCGCTCCAGCACCTGATTCTGGCTGTGTGCTAGGCCAGCCTGGATGTTTGGGCAGGGGCCTAACAAGTGTGTGGTGTTGCACAGGTGTGTGAAGGGACAACGAGGGTTTGGCAGTCCCAGAGGCTGATCAATTATACATCACACCTCCAGGAAAAAACCCGTGACACTGACTTAAAGATCACAAGGCCTTTATGCCAAAATACTCTTGGGGCCTCTTTAATTGCATGTTCAGCTCTGAGTCTTTGGGGTCTCTGCTCCAGTCAGGTTTGCAAGCTGTTCTTTGCATTTGTGATCGGCTTGACGTGCACCTTGTTGAAATGAAAGCTGGAACACAAAAACAGGGAGATTTAAGATGCAGCATGTGTCGGCTGTCTTTCGCAGAAGGACAGAAACCTTCAGAAAAGGCCTGAACGAGAGAGATGGTTTGCTTTGCCCTTTCCATGACACTTCGAGGTTGCGGTAAGAGTTGGATAAAATAAAAAACCCCTAAGCAAACATGTTACCACTTTAATTTGTAAGCCCCTGGAGCAAGGAGGCGTCTCTTTAAAAAAAAAAAACATATTTCTGCAGCAGCTTGTAGATTGCAGGTGTGATTTGCACCTATCAGTATTCAGCAGAGGAAACTCAGTACGAGAAAGTGCAAGAGTGAACGTGTTCTAGTTGCCCAGCTATGCTAAGCCTTTTTCCAGACGCGCAGTTCGGATTACGACCGGGCCCGCAATGGAGGCAGCGCGGCGCGTGAGAGTCGCGAGGTCGCAGCCGTGCGTCGTCCCGCGTGGGCGCTCCGGCGGCGCGGGGGAGCCGAGTGCTCGGGCGCGGGCGCTGCCCGGGGGCTGCCCGCCGCTGCAGCCCCGCCCTCCGAGAGCTCCGCGGGGCCGGGGCCAGGGCCGGGGCGCGGCCGCCGGGAAGGGGCCTGTGGCGTCACGCCTGGCCGCCCGCGCCCTTCCCGGGGCGACGTCGCGCGCGGCCCCCTCCGGCCCGCGGGCGCCCCGGAACGCGCGCGGCGGGGCCTCGTTTCCGGGGGGAAGCAGTTCGGGACGGACCGGCGGGCCGGGCTCCCAAGGGCGGCGCTCCGCCTAACCTCGCGGTGGGGACGAAGCGCGGGTAGGCCGGGGGGGGGTCTCCCCTCCCCCCCTCTCTCGGGGGGAATGGTGGCCCCACTTGGGGAGGGGGCCCGGGAAAAGTCACCCGCCATCCCTGGGTAGCAGCAGGAACAGAGCGAGTCCGAAGGGGTCTCCCAGGCCATCCGTCTGACCCCCGGCTCTGCCCCCCACCCAGGTTGTAGGACAACAGTTCCCAGCGTGCTGGGGAGCCCACCAGGCCGGGGAAAGCTGGGCTAGTCCCTGAAAGGGCTGCGGGGAGGCGGAAAGAGAAATGACCGCCTTCTGTCTTCGCCCCAGCCTGGGCAACGCTTACTCCCGTTCTGCCTCGTTAGGCGCACACAGTGCAACTCCCATACTCCCCAGTCATGCTGACTGGGCTTTGTGGGCCTATGGGAGCCAGCGTGGCGTGGTGGTCCCCGTGCAGGCGGGGGAAGTGGAGGCAGTCCGGGTTCTAGTCCCCGCTCAGCCATGGAGCTGGCTGGGTGGCTTTGAGCCGGTCACAGACTCGGCCCAGCCTTCCTCACTGGGTTGCTGTTGTGAGGATGAAATGGAGAGGAGGAGGACTGTGTAAGCCCCTCCAGTTTCTTGCAAGGGGAGGAAAGGGGCCTGTAAGTGCGATGCAATGATGGGGCTGTAGCATTAAGCGTTGGAGGGTACCGAGCAGGGCACCTCTCGAGTTGCTTCTGTTTTGTGCACACAACACACACGGGTTGGGGGGGGGGATAACACAGTCGCCACAGCCCTCCCACATTTGCCAACAGAGGGTGTGAGTGGGGGTGCAGGGAGTGTGTGGAGGGGAGAGATCAGAACACACCTCTGTCGCCATGGGGGTCCTCCTGGCCCTGAGCTCCCACCTGTGATTGCATGTATTCTACCTATTGTGTTTGGTATCTGTGCTGCGTCTCTGATGGTCTAAGAAAGTTGCATAAAAACAGAGGACTCTCTTGAGTTGCCTCTGTGCTTTTTGTGTAGAGGTCATTGTTGTGGATGCCAGAAATCTGTGTTAGCATCTTTTGGGGTAATTTCATGTGGAATATTTTCTGTGCCCCTTCTTACTTTCTTTCTCCAGGGCAAGCAATGGGGATATTAGTTCTCCTCTGTTCTGTTTCTCATTTTACAATGCAAGATGCCAGGAGTTGGGTCAGGCCAGGGAAGGGGGATGTTGCTGGATACCCAGCTCCGGCCCCGCCCGGCCAATGCAAGCAGTGATCGGGGTGAGGAGAGCTGTGGGCCAGCCACTTCCACAGGTTGTTCCACGCCTGGTAAAATGGGGTCTGCTCTCCACTGAAGCTCTGATACTTTGAAGCTTCACCCACGTGGTGGCCTTGCTTATTGGTGGTTCGTGTCAGGGCTACGAACCACGTGCAGCCGAGATCTGTCCAGATTGCATCAAGAGCTGACTGCATTTATAGGGCTGTTAAGGGTTCGGGTTCAGGTTTAAGCCACAACTGAAGTTAAGGGAAGCATCTTCCAAACTTTGGTATGCTAACAAGGTAGTTTTAGTGCAATGCCCAGCTTTGATCAAGTTGTACACATGGATGTGAACAATCATCCACAGCACAGCAAGCTTCATGCTTGTTCTCTCTCTCTCTCTCTCTCTCTCTCTCTCTCTCTCTGTGTGTGTGTGTGTGTGTGTGTGTGTGTGTGTGTGTTAAGTGTAAAATCAGGAAGTTTTTGCACATTTGCATCAGCCTTCCTGACTTTTTAAACTACCCTGAAAGAAACTGCTAATTTTGCGTAGGAAGGACTTTTAACCAAATGTGTCATACCCCAGTGGAGACAGAAGAACTCATCTGATGACAGCAGCTTGCCCCCTTTCCATTTCACGCATGCCTCTCTGGAAGTGCAACCTAAAAAAAGAAGTGTGTGTGTGTGAGAGAGAGAGAGAAGCAGAGGGAGAGGGAGAGAGAGCTGACTCGCCTCCCTGTAACTTTGAAGTCCCCCTTCCCAGCTTCTTACTCCCGAGGTGCATGCTGGAAGCATTAATAGGGCTGCACATCACCTTTGCAATGTTTATCCCCGAGGAAAAGGCGAGTCCCTGTTCTGTCCTGCGTGTCCAGCCCCATCGCTTCCTGCACCCTTTCTGGCTTGCTTTGTTTTGGGCACAGGAGAATTTGGGATTCTTGGGCATGGTCTGGATCAGACACATCCCTGAACCAGCCGCGGTTGTCACCTTTATTGGGCCAGTGCCTGTGGAACAGAATGCAGCATCATTCCCGGCTCTCCCCACATTTCTCTTGTGTCTTGAGGGGCTCATCCAGCTATGAGACAAGAGTTCTGTGGTGCCAGTTGAAATTTTACTGCTGATATTTTATTATCAGTGTTGCCTAGATGAACCGTTATTCTGTTCTTCAGAACCATTCTTCCTTTTCCCCGCAATACACTTGCTGTGGCCCATCTGTGAACCAAAAGGAGACTTGCAGACCTGCCTTATAAACTCATATGCTGCCCTTCTTGGGTATCCTTTGGCCCACCCTCTGGTTGGAGCAGAGGGGCTGAACCTTTTCCAGCTAGAGGGCCAAATTCAGTTCCGGAGAAGGTCTTGGGAGCCACCTTCCAGGAGTGGGGAGAAAACCAAGTAGCTGAGGCCAAAATACTGAGATGTTCCACATTTTGACCTGTTAGGCAACTGCCTGGAGATTGGTGGTCAGAGTAAGGGAGCAAAGCTGTGTGGAAATCCATGAGCTTCAGTACCCCTGGAGTGCCAGCTCCGTATAGTGACTGAATGGTTTGCTTGCTTTCTCCAGCAGCGCAGCCAAGCCACTCCAAGGAAATGTCAGTCCCCCTGATGTTTTTGAAGGTGCGCTCTTGGACTCGATGCCTGGCTCGGGGCCGTTGCTTTCCAGGACAGGCCTGCTCTGGCCTCAGGGTTTCCCGCTCTGCCTTCAAAGGCCTGCATACCGACACCTCCTGTCCTGGGCACGTGGCCCCCGTCTTCACCAGAGCACCGGCGTTTGGAGAGAAAATAGCCATTGTCGACCAAAATGGCGAGCACACCTACAAGGACCTGTACGCTCGAAGCCTGCACCTGTCCCGGAAGATCTGTGCAGCCCTCGGGAACACAACCGGAGACCTGCAGGGCGAGCGGATCTCATTTTTGTGCCCCAACGACGCCTCCTACGTGACCGCCCAGTGGGCCTCGTGGATGAGTGGCGGTGCAGCCGTCCCTCTCTTCAGGAAGCACCCTGCCTCGGAACTGGAGTATTTCATCCAGGATTCTCAGAGCGCTCTCCTGGTGGTGGAAGAGGAGTATGTGGAGCAGATCATGCCCAGCGCCAAGAAGCTTGGCGTTCCTGTGCTCTCGCTGCTCAAATCTGGGAAATGTGACTCAGCCGCGGACACTCCCCCCGCAGAAGCCGCCTGCCCCATCTCCGAGTGGAAGGACCGGGCTGCCATGATCATTTACACAAGCGGCACCACCGGGAGACCGAAAGGGGTCGTCAGCACGCATTGGAACGTCCAGGCGGTGGTGAGTGCATGCTTTGCCCGCCGAATTGGGCCCTCCTGGCAGTCTGTTTGGGGCTGTCCTGGATGCAGCTGGGGGCAGACTCAGCTGTAGGAGAAGGGGGGGGTCTCTGAGCATGTGCAGAATGACTCTCTTCTGTTAATCACAGTGTGGGTTCGGGTAGATTTAAACCCCAGCACCCTGTTTTTAAGATATGCCTTATTGCTGCTGTATTTATGTATCTGGAGAGCAAAGGGGATGGTGTCCCCCCTGAACAGTTGCGCCTCTCTCAGGCATCTGTGCTGCTACAAGATGGCTACAAAGGCATCCTGAAAAGTCTGTTTTCTCTTTAGCTGTTATCCCAAGGATGAAAAGCCCAGTAGCTGCCTGTGCCCCAAAGAGCTCGAAGTTTGAAGTCTGCTGCTGCCGCAGCAGCGCAGGGTCTCTTCCTGCCAAGGGTAGAATTGCCCCCTCCGCCCCGGGAAGACAAAACGCCCCCTCTGAGTCACTTGAGCAGATCAAGGGGCCTTGGAGCATCTTCTTCCTCCCGCTCTCTTCCATGAACAGTGGATTTTTGTTGCTTGCACTTCCTGGTAGAAAAGAGGAGCACCCTTTCTTTTCCGCAGTAACACAATCGGTAGATTTATATGGCTGGATTTGAACCAGAACTGCTGAAAGTGTCCGCTCATGGAAGAACGGGGCACGAGCTCCCTTGTCTGAGTCTGGACCAGGATCTTTTCCAGATGGAGACTTAGAGGGCGCATTCAGGAAAGGCAACAGACCAGCTGACCACAAGCAGTGGTGTGAGGCAGAAGAAAGTCCATGGACAATGTTTCATGGCTTCATTCTCCCATGGAACGTTTCCCATTCCGAAAGTTCATTAAGGAAATGAATGCGTGTCACTTGCAAGTACAATATCAGGCGAGCTTGACAGCTTCAAAGTTGCAATTAATGCTTTTCAGGTGATTATCCTGAGCAAGAGCATGCGAGAATACGTCGATGTCGCATGCGTGTCTCTGAGAGAAATGGAACTAATAAGTAGTGACAGCAAACCGAAGGTGCCCCGCCGCCTCCCTGGAAGAGCGCTGAATTCTGCCGAAGCGGATGAGTGGCCGTCAGCGTGCCGTGCGCAGTGCTGTGGGTTGCTGGCATTAATTAGCGTGTCAACAGTTTTCAGTGCCGATCACATCAAGTGTGCTTTAATTCCCCCTCGCTCAAATATTTCAGGTCAAATGTTTATGGACACAAAAATAACAAAAGGTACTGCTTGAGTTTCCCTGTTTACGAATAAAGCAAGAATGCTGAGTGAGATCACCCTCTGGGGCCTCAGAATATTTTCCAGGGCAAACTGAAAAATATCTGATGTGAATCAGTGAATGGCAATTAGTCTAATTGGAAAAGGAAAATGCCTCCCAATTTTTCCGGATCAAAATTGTTGGCTGCAATCCAAATCAGGATCGAAAGTGTCCGCTGGCAGGTAACCCTCTGCGTCTGGCACCCTCCAGAAATTTTGGACTTGGCCTCAGTCAGAGAGCCAGACTGAGTCCTGGCCAGGAATCCTGGGCATTGCACTCCGAGGCATCCGGTGAGCACCAGGTTTGGGAAGGCCAGGATCACCAGCCGAGAAAGCAAAGGTGCCGACGGCTGTGGCTGACGGCAGATGGACGAGAGGCAGAGAGCAGCAGGGCAGACGGGCAGAAGCCAGCAACTCTGCTTGACTGCACAGACCGTTCCGCTGCTCAGGTCTCAAAGATGCAAGTCGAGAGGGGAGGGAGGAGATCCTGGTTCACAAATTTCGATGACGTCTGCATGCACATCTCTTTGACAGGCTGCCTGTTGGGAAAGGGCAGAAGACATGATTTGCACGGATGCTCTGTCCGTTCTACAAGCCCCTCCGCAGGGTGTCTTTTCCCCATTCTTTATTCATGTCGTTCAGTCACAAGTAACACAATTTACATCCCGGAGCAGGAAGTTAAGGAAGGGAGGCTCCAAGGAGAAGGACGGCATGTTTTTGGCGGGCCGAGGAAGCACCGGCAAGGTTCATGATGTTCAGAGCTAGCTGTCCAGGCGCTTGACTGCGGCTCTCTCGTAGCAATCGTATTCCAGTGCTGCTAATGTCATAGATGAGTTTCTTCTGCTGCTGCTTTTTAAGAATTCTCTGAGTGAAGTTCTAAACAACTGACTAGGAAACCTCTAGTGTGCTAGAAAAGTAAGGACAATTCAAGTCAAAACATTTAGAGGAAATGCTCTTTGCCAGGGGGCTGGCAAATGAAGGCAAAGGATTTTATTCTCTTTTGCAAAGCAGTTAATTCCTATTTGCAGAGTATATTTACTTTGGAAGTTTGCTTTTGATCTACTTGTGCTGGGGCGCAACTCTCTGCCTTGCCCGCATCGGGCTTCGTGAGCACCCTGGAGGCGTCCCCTTGTGCTGGTTCCATGTTGGCGCTTCCTCTGCCACCGGTTGTAGTCTGAGCCCTGGGCCCTGTGCAGCCTCCCCTGTGAACGAAGTCCTGGGTGGCTCTGTGCGTCCGTGTCCGTGTGCATCCGATTGCAGCCTCTGTTCCGGAAGCTCTTCCTGCAGGTACTCATTCGCTCAAACCTCCTTGCAGGTCACAGGGCTGGTCGACAAATGGGAGTGGACGAAGGATGACGTCATTCTCCACGTCTTGCCTCTGCACCACGTCCACGGTGTGGTGAACAAGCTGCTGTGCCCCCTCTGGGTGGGCGCGACGTGCATCATGCTCCCCGAGTTCAACGCAGAAGCAGTAAGTTTCCTCGCCGTGTGCAGGCATGCGCTGGCCGGCCCCCGGCCCACGTCCCTTCCAGGGGCGGCAGCAGCCGTCGGTGCGTCTGAGTGGCAGCCAGGTTGGGGGGGGGGGGGGGGAGACTTGTGGCAGGTGTGCTGCCAAGAAAGTATCTCCCGAAGATGACAGTGACCGGACAGGTAGCAGGGCGAGGGGCTTGTGAGCTCGTGGGGATCCCGCACTCTTTGCTTTAGGCAGAGGCGGGCTGGCTCCTCCATGGGAAGACCGGGCGGCGGATTTTTCGCACATTCCTCTGGGCAGGAGGTTCGGCAGGATAGTCGTGGGCTTGGCCTTCAAGGCGAGGGGCCGCGAGCCCAGCTGTCCCTGCGCGCCACCTTTGCGCCCGTGTCTTGTTTCCGCCTGGCTTGAAGGGCGGCCACGGCAGTGAATGGTCAGATGTGGCTTCCCCTTAATGGAACCAAGTGAGCAACTCTTCCGGCGGGTTTTCTTCCGCCTTGGGCTGCCCGCCCCACCTTTTGGCAAGTGTTGGGGTCACGGGCGGTAGCTGCCATTATAACAGGGCTGTGGTGGCTGGCCTCTCCCACACCCAGCGCGGGCTCGCCCTCCACCAGGCACGGGGGTTGCGGCTTCGCGAGAGGCGATGGCTTTGATGCGTGCGTCCCTGGAGACGGAGCCCCGGCGGGGCAGATGAAAGGCATGGCAGCAGCCTGTACAGATCAAGACGGTGGCAGAGGAGATGAAGGCCTCGAGCCTTTGGTCACGGCATTGACGCCAGAGACTCAAAATCACCCTGGATTGTTTAGGGGAGAAGAAGGGATTAGCTGCCTGGCGGGAATCTCGGCATTCCTAGGGAGAGCACAGATCATATTCCTGTCATGTGCCTTCTCAGCTGGACCTATTGTTTCTGGCTCTGCCTGTGTGTGCGTGTGTGTGCGTGTGAGAGAGAGAGCCCTTTCCAAGCAATCCTAGCCATGAATCATACCTCTTTCTCTAGAGCTCCGAGGGAGTGCGAGCGAGGTGCGAAAGCAGAGAACTGTGTCGTGCTGTGCCATGTGGAATCGAGTACAATGGCACCTCGCCACTGCTGAATCATTTTCTTTTTAAATCCCAGTTTCAAGCTGTTGCATCCTTGATGGAAAGCGTCTGTTGATACACGCTGGCGGAGAGCCCCGTGCGGTGGCGGCAGGGCTGACGGCCCTGCCCTGAGCTTCCATGAACCGGGCCTCCCGTATCACAGGCAGGAAGCCCTGGAGGGTGGCCTTGTGGCAGCCTCAGGACGGACGAGGCAGCTCCCTTCCAAGCCCCAAGGGGGATTTGGGGCAGGAGAGCCAGAGGGCAGCGGTTCCCTGGCTGGCTCTCGCCCCCTTTGCTCCCCCGACTCTGGGCCTTGCCCCACGCCCAGCTGGGGCCCTGCTCCCTTTGGCGCTGGCCAGACCACGGCTGGGTCACCATCTCTAAGGGGGACCCTGCAAGAAAGGCAAGTGCAGCAGCCCCCCTTCAGGACCACAGGTCTGGCCAGAAGGCCCGGGGGGGGCAGAGGCCTCCTGCCCAGCAGAGCCCCCCTCCCTGCGAGGTCCAGCTGAGAGGGCACGGTGTGTGCCCCCTCTTCTGGGCCCCGCAGCCTTCACTCTCCCGTGTCAGCCCTACTCCCTCGTCATCCCGGATGCTGCATTGCATTGCATTGCATTGCATTGCATTGCATTGCATTGCATTGCATTGATACCCTCCCTTTCCTCCTCTCGCAAGGAACTGAAGGTGGCTTGCAGGGGTCTCCTCTCCGTTTTATGCACACAACAACCAGCCTGTGAGGTAGGCTAGGCTGAGCGGCCATGGCAGGCCCGGGTCACCCAGGGAGCTTCCTGACGGAGCAGGGACTCGAGCCCCAGGACCGCACTCCTAACCGCTGTGGCACGAGGCTCCCCCATCGCCTGCTGCAGCCTTTGTGGGTAGGACAGCGCGGGGCGTGTCTCCCGTGGGGCCACTCACGTCCGCGTTGCTGGAAGAGCGAGCGTCCCTGCTCAGGCCGCGCGGTGTCCCTTCTCCCAGCATCTGCAGCCCTGACTGCTTTCCGCGCGAGGGAGGAGACGTGTGCTTGACTGAGTGTGACGAGCCGGGGCGCGAAGGCGTTGCCCAGGGAGGCGCGGCTGCCCTCTCGCGTGCCCTTCTTTGTCGCCTCAGCCCAGGAGTGGCTGGTCAGTGACCGGCTGCCCGGCCTGTTTTGATCCACCGGCTCTGGCACAGCAAGTCCCGGGGAGAATTCTGCCTTTTCCTTCTTCCTCTGCGACTCCCGCTTTCCTGCCTTCCTCTTCTTATGTAAGGGCCTCCAAGCAAGCGGGAAAGTGCTTTGATTGACAAAGGAAGGGCACGAGGGCAAATCAGGCGTTCTCGTGGAGTTTAACACAAGCCGCCTTTGAGTCCCGGCCTATTTTCACCAGCTGTTTACAAAGTGCCCTTTGCTACCCAAATCGGCTCTCCGAAAAGCAGCACTGCTGCAGCGGAGGATTTCGCAGAAGGAGCCCGGGCTTTTCCGCCTGCCTTTTGTGTTTCTGTTTCTTTGCATCTCGAGAGAGCAGTCAATTACAGGGTGATATAAAGAAACCCGAACGGCAGCTCAAACGCTTGACATGCCGATCAAAACAAAGCTGGGAACTCGCCTCCAAAGCCGCCGCTGCCGAAATCAACCTTGAGTGATACTGGCACGGGTTCAGGGGAAACCGCAGCAGCACGCCCAGCCGTCCTAATCACTAACACTTCATTATACACAATAAATACTTTATTATTACAGTGTTTATTAGATTACTTAATTCGCAGCATGCCTTTGCGGTCGTAGGCACAGGTGGAAGCCTGGCTGGGCTGTCGTTGAGGGAGGCCATCCTTGCAGGTCCGTCAGTGCAGCCAAGCTCTCGGCAGGGGCTGCTGCCCCCTGCCCTGTCCTGCCCGACCTCGTGGCTTTGGCGCTCCCTTGTCACTGCGCCTGAGGCGTCGAGTGAGGCGCAGCGTGTCCCGGGGCTGTCGTGTCCGCGGTGCAGCGAGCGCCCCCTGCGCCAGCGTCGCTGTGCGCTGCCGGGTACCTGCGAGGACCGGGCAGCGTGCGCGGTGTCTCCGAGCGAGGCGACGTGTCATAATTCGCTTCGCAGCACCATCTGCTAGGACAGGCTTGCTAAAGCTTTTCCTTTTATTGGAAGTTGTTAAAGGATATTACTGCCCATTAATCATTTATTAATAAAAGGTTTATCCATGGCTCACGTGTCCCCAGCCTTGCCGTCTGCTTGTTGCGCGGCTTGCCGTGCGCCTCTCTCGGTGCTCCTGTGGGGCTTTTCCATGTGGTTGGCAGGCCCTGGCTCACTGGCAAAGCCCTTCCCCTTCTAGCTGGCAGAAGGGCGGGTCGCAGGCCTCGGTGGCGCTTGGCCTCAGGGCGCTCCCGGAGGGAGGGCTGGCTTCTCCCGCTACCTATCGGAAGGTGCTTTGTGGCAGTCAGCTTTCCTTAAAGGGTTTTCTGTGCTCAGGAAGAGGACGGAGGAGAGAAAGCGCTGATGAGTTTTGCATGCATCTCGGGCTCCCGTAAAACTCCAGGAATGAGGCGATGTGATGGCCGGATTAAATCTCATCTGGAAGCGCCCTTACTCCCGGGCAAGCATGCAGGGGATGGCGGCCTGCTTTGCCTGTGGGGTGTGACCAACTGCCAGCACTCCAGCCGGGGTCGCCCTGCCTGGGCATAATCGCACAGGCTGGTCCCCATGCGGAGGGGGGGCAATGTGCCCCGTCTGCCTTGCCCTGCCCCAGTGAGCCTGCTTCAGCATCGCCGCTCCTGGGAGCTCCTTTATCCCTGCCCATGCAGGTTCCTTGCAAGGGTCTCTTGGGAAAGCACCGCAGTTCCCCAGTATTCCAGCCCCAGAGAACAGCGAGGCCCCTTTCCCGCTCTTCCCAGCACACACACGGCGAGGGGGAAAGAAAACTCCCAGTGCCTGCAGTGGAACTTCCTGCATGTGAGGGGAAGGCTCCGTGGTGGGCGCGGGCAGAGGGACTTCAGGGCTGTCCACGTGGCATCGCCCTCGCTCCAAGCACGGCTGTCCGGACCCTGCTTCCTCCTCCTCCGGGAGTCAGGTCCAGTTTATTAAGGATGCTTTTCCAGTGTTGTTTTTCCCGGAGGAAGTGTTGGCCCCGCCGCCTTGCACCCTTTCCTTCAGCACCCGTCTTCTTCCCTGGCTCAGACGAGGTGCTGGGGCAGGCCGCCGGCAAGCAGGTAACCCCGGATCTGCTTCTTGCAGACCTTGGCTTGAAAAAACTTACTGTTTTTTTCCCCTCTCTCTGTCTCTGTCTCTCTCTCTCTCTTTTTTCTTTCCTCTTGCCAGAACTGCCATTTGTCCTCAGCATCTGTTGCAGAATAATGCCTTTTGATATGGAAGGGCGAGGAGGAGGGGGCGGGGGGAGGAATGTAAAAAAAGAAAAGCCAGAGCCTGTCATATTTTGTTAGATTCCCGGGTCCTGGGGAAAGTGTTTGCTTCTTTCGGCATGCCTGCAGCGTGGCAAAGGGTTGAAAGCTGCAGCCGGGATGCCGAGGGAGCAGCCGCGCCTCCCGATGAACAAGCGATTGAAGCAGAGGCATGCGGTGCACACAGGCCGTTTGCAGGGATGGCGAGCAGCAAGGGCCGGGCCGGGCCGGGCCGGGCTGGGCTGCCTTTGGGCGGGAGCCATCTCCCTCGCGTCTCGCTGGAGACGGCCTCGGCCAGCGGAAGCGCGGAGCACAGGCGTGCGGGGATTCTGGCAGTGCGCTGTCCCAGGAGATGGGGAGGGTCCCCAGGAGATGCGCGGCTCCCCCGCCACTCCTGCGGGCCCTAGCGTGGCCCACGCCTGCATGGCGCACGGGCAGAGAATGCTGAACCGGGGACCCGGCACGCCGTGACGCGGCGCAGCCAGCCCCCCGAGCACACGATGGATTGATCTGTGGCTGCACCTCTCTTCCCAGCTGCTCCCACGGGGGCGCTTTCATCCTCGTCCCTCTTCTCCTTTGACCCTCCCAGCAGCCCTGTCAGCTGAGCGCAAGCAGGTGGCCCCAAGTCATCTTGTCGGGGCCACGGCTGAGGGGAGACTAGATCCCGGGGCCCCCGAGGCCCCACTCAGTGCACTAACCACTACACCACGCTGTCCAGCGAGACCTTCAGCCTCGGCTCACAAAGCACTGCACTGTCGGGCAGTGCTGAGCTAGACATATTTTGGCACAGGGACGCGGCCGCCTGGGTAAAACCAAAAGCTACGGCGGGCAGCGTGGCGGGCGAACACGGGCGTAGCAGCGCTCTTGCTTTGCAGGCGGCGTAGCCAGCACCCTGCCAGGCGAGCAGAGAACACAGAGCTGCCTGGGAGATCAAAAGGGAAGTCAAGGGATGATTTAACGTGCATTAAAAAGACCGTTGTGTGTGAAGAGGCCCTTTCCCCTTTCTTGGTAACAGCACGAATTGATACGCCGATTTGCTCTGGTTTACCAAAGGGGCGATTGCAGACTGCCTATGTGTGGTTATCTGTTTGGGGCTGGCGTGGGGGTCGTTACATTTTGAGGATACTAATGTACTTATTTTTTAATTGGAAATTTGATTGCGATTTAGAAGCATGCTGCTAGAAAAAGCTGTGGGGATTAAAAGAGCTTGTGGAAGGAGGGATGGGAGAGAAACCGCAGAAGAGAAAGGGGCCCTCTGTTCATCGTTGTGCTCGTGTGAATTCCCGCAGTACATTCTAAGGTCCGGGGCCACGTGTGTGTGTGCATGTTTACAGCAGGCATCCAGACCTCCAGCCAGAATTTGATAGTTTCCAGGAGCGGAGTAACTTCCTGCCATCAGCTAATTTGAGGCGTAAAGACCCAGGCCCCCGAAGGCGGGAGGGGACACGTGCCTGCTTTGCCAGCCTTTGCAGTTTTAGGCTCCTGGGGCACTTACAGAAGCGTCGAGTAAAGAAAACGGCAGTACAGCTTGTCAGAATCTTGTCTGCAAGTAACCGATGGGCTGATCTTGCCAGGTTGCGTGCGAGAGAGAGAGAGGAGAACTCCGAGTCGGGGCTGTTGGACTTCTTTTAGCCTGTGTGCCAAATTCTTAGAGACGATCGGGGGGGGGGGGGGCAACCCGTTTATGGGCTGAGCCAAAGGCGAATGGGAGAGGGCCAGGTTTGCAGCCTGCCTGGGCTCCAGGCTCTTGCTGCCAGCAGCCGGGCCTCTGAAGGGCACTGCCAGTCTTGCAGAATGGGGAAAAGCTGGGCCACTCCCAAAGGATGGGGGGCTGGGAGGAAGGGCGCATGGCCGCCCGGGCCGTACGGGACCTCCAGGTTCGGAGCGAGCGTGTACCGCTGAATGCCACCCGCCCAAAGGCAGCCATGCCACGTGCCTGGGCTGTTGCGCTCGTGCCCTGCCGGAGGGCTTCCTGGGGGAACATACCGGGACTTATCCCGCAGTGGGTGTGGCGACGGCTTTAAAGGGGACTTAGATGTGTGGAGGAGAAGGCTCTCCCTGGGCACTTGGCCTGGCAGAGATGTGGTGCTTGCAGTGTCGCTTCTGCATGGCGGCTGGTCTTCTCGGCCTCCTCCCGAGCAGGCCAGGATGCAGGCACTCCGGCTAAACGCTTTGTTGCGGTAAAGCTGCCCGGCCGGGTTTGAGGCACGAGTGGCAAGTCTCCAGGGGGCAGAGCTCTCTGCCTCCGCCTGGAACACGGTGGGCATTCCCGCTGGCAGAAGGACCGAGCATGCAGCCCCAGGCCCCTCGGCTGATCACCCAGCACGAGGCGGGACTCGTCCTCCGAGCGGCAGCCTGCCAGTCGCGGTGGGGAAGCCACCGGAAGCGTTTGTCCTTCGGCTTTTGCACCTGCCCGCTTCCCTGTTGCAGGTCTGGCAGAAGTTCCTGAGCCTGCAAGCGCCACGCATCAGCGTCTTCATGGCCGTGCCCACCATCTATGCCAAGCTGATCGAGCACTACGACCGGCACTTCTCCCAGCCCCACGTCCGGGACTTCATCCGTGCCGTCTGCCAGCAGAAGATCCGGTAGGGGGCCCTGCCTGCGTCTCGGGAGGCACGCTGGGGCGAGCGGCCCATTCTCCCTCCCCGGCTAGCCTGTGGAGAGGGCGCTTCGTCCCTTCCTAGCGGCCTCCCGTCCCTGCTCCCGTGTTCCGTATCGGAGTGTGTCGTTGCGTAGCCGTTGGCGAAGAGAGCGCTCTTTCCCTTCCAGAGCCCTCTGGGCACAAGCGCCTCGTCCACCCGGGAGGCGCGATTGGCCCCGCGTGGAGAAGAGCCCCACCCAGCACCACGTCCGGTTGCAGTGCCGATTTTCTGCCAGCCTTCCCTCCCCTGAATTGACGCACTTCCATCGTTCCTTCTGTTCCCAAAGGCACACCAGTCTGGCTGGAGGGCAGGCTATGCTCGGTCCAAGCCCTAGTAATGCGTTTTAAGGCCCCGCAAGGCGTGGAACGCAGAGGCGTGTGGGAGGATGTACGTTGGCAGCCTGCAACAACGGGGGGTTGGACCCGGTGGCCTTCCTGGCCTGTCCGGCTCTAGTATTCTGGGCTTCCACGTGCCGGACTGCCTCCTCCTCTGTCAGCCCACCCACCTCCGAGCTTTTCTCGAGGTCCCCCTGCCCCGCAGCGAGCCTTTGTTGCAGCGGCTTCTCTCCCTCGGGGGGCCTTCCCCAGGATGGCCCACCTTTCCCTGATGGAGCCGCCCGGCTCAAACACTTCTGTTCCCCAGGTATTCAGAAACTGCTGAAGACCCTGCTTGGCTCTGCTGCCTGTTCTGAAGGGGCAGGCGAGAGGTTATAGAAATGAGTAAGCCGCACGGTGGGATCTCCGTGAGGGGTGGCGCTGATCAGCAGATGCCCTGGGCTGCTCGTGCGCCTGCTGGGTGCTCCCCGCCGCTGTTTCCGAGGGGAGCGGAGGAGCAGCCCTGCGAGCGGCAAAGCTGCCCTGCCAGGTGCTCAGGCCAGTTCTGAGGTTTCCCGGGCTGCCTCCTCCTTGCACCCCTCCGGAGCTCTCCAGGGGAGCATGTGCCAGTTGCCGGGGGGCTGCCGCGTTTCCTACCTTGGAGCCGGTGGGTGGGAACCTCTAGGGAGAGGGAGTTCTCTGGGGCAGGAGGTCGGACTGCGTGATGCCCTCCCAGCCGCGTGACTTCGCACAGCTTTCCCTCCGAGAGGCGGGGGCGAGGCCTCCCGCTCGCTCGCTCTCCAAGCTAACCTCCTGTATCTTGTTAAAAACCATCTGTCTCATCTGTGCTCCCAGTTTGGCTTCCAAAGCCCCTTTCTGTTCTGGCAGTCGCCCAGGCCCCGTTCTGCCACCACTGCTTTCCAGCCGGGAATGCCGCCCCGTTTCCCCCGAGCTGTGTGGCCATCGCCCAGGGCATCTCAGCATGGGGCACGCCAGTCCCGAGGGGTGGCATGTCCAGAGCATTTTGCTCTCTTGGCCGCTGTCCCATGGTAGCCCGATATTGCCCACTGTTTGTGTGTGGGTTAACTCTGGATTGTTTGGCTTCCAGTTTGGAAACAATCCAGGAATGAGGTTTGCTGAGTTAATGAAAAGCAGAAGTGACCGACGCACGGCTTGTGCGCCCCTGCAGTTCCTGCATGAAGTGACCCAAGACGTGTCATTTCGACATGCAAACTGCTCAGTAGAGCAACTGCGTGATTTAAAATGACAAATTAAAAAGTGGTGCCTTCACCCAGTCTCTAAAGGCTGAGAGGTCAGGGCGCCTTCTGGCTTGTCAGGCATAGAGAGACGCTCTGGGAGCACCAGGGCGGAATGGCCTCATGCGCACGCCCAGCCACCAGGCCTCGGCTGGTAAAGGTGTCCTCTCCACCTGCTCACCCAGGCGGGTTCACAGCAAGAGAGCCGGCCCCGTGGAGTCCCTCCTGGGGAGGGCGATGGGGGGACAGGCAATGCTTCCTTCACTGCAGACCCCAAACGGTCCCTAAACGCCACCCTGGGCCCACGTCAACGTTGTTCTGAACACGTGTCAGCTGCACAGCATCGCGAGGGCGTAACTCATCGGGCGCTCGCTCTTGCAGGGTGATGGTGTCAGGATCCGCGGCCCTCCCCGTGCCCGTCCTCGAGAGGTGGAGGAGCATCACCGGACACACGCTGTTGGAGAGGTACGGCATGACGGAGGTCGGGATGGCGCTTTCCAACCCGCTTCACGGCCCTCGTGTCCCAGGTGAGACGGCAGGGAAGTTTGCGAGCTGTTGCTCGAAAGGCGCTCATTCTGGCGAGGCCATTTTGCCGTCACCTTTCTGGATGACGCTGCAGTTAAGCTCAAGTCAGGATTGTGCTGGCAAAGGAAAGATCTTGAAAGGAAGCAGGGCCTTCTCCGGGTCTACGCAGTCATTCTGAATTCACCTTTGCATCGTACCTAGTGGTTGGGTTTCTTTCCTTCCACCTGGTTCTGTGCAGCTCGGGGAGCTTTGGCAGGGTGGCTGCCGTTCTCCGGACCAGCAAAACTCCCGCCCTCAAATACTTAATCAGCGGTGATGCCTGGAAACTGCTCCCAGGAGGGACGGAAGCGCTTTCCACCACTGTGCCGCAGCTCACGTCGGGAGGCGCACGAGGTAGCGTCGCCTGCTGCCAGGTTTCTTCACGGCTGAGCAGAGGAGATGGGGCGACAAAGCACCCCGAGTGCGCGGCGGCCCCTTTTCCGGTTTCGGGTCTCCAGATCCAGCAGCTGCGGCACCGCAGAAGTGCTCCCAGTGCTGCGGCACTCCCTTCCCTCGCTCTCGCGTTCGGCGGCAGGATGCGTGCCAAGAGGCTCCCCGGGGACCGAGATGAAAAAGAAGCGAGATGCTGAGGTTGACACAACACAGACAAAAGAGAATAATTAGAACAACTGAAAGCTTCGGGAGCGGACAGCTGGCACCGCGGGGTGCGGAGTTGGCGGGCAGAGCAAGAAAGCCCAGCCCCGAGTCAGCTCCCAGGGAGCTGCAGAGGCCACCTCCGCCCAGTCGCTTGCTCCCGCTGCGGCACAGCCTGCGACACCCGGGCAGCCGGACTCCCTGTCTGAGAACGGCTCTTGGGAGGACGGGGGCAGAGAGGCAAGGTGCTCGGGAAAACCTGTGCCCACCTGCCCAGGCGTCTCCTTGTGCACAGGGCGCGCCAGTCGTTCCAAAGGCAGGCGCGGATCCGTCGGTGTGAAAGAATGCGGCCGCCGATCTGCTCTCTGTCGGAATGATGAGCGGCAGCATGTGGGCACGGTGGTGTGCCCGGGCGTTCCTTCTCGCCCGCAAGCGCGTGGGTGCGAGGGCCTTCTCCATCCCGCATTTATTTTATCCAGGTGACAGCACAGACGCAAGACACGCATCTTCTGCCACCCTTGCCATGTGCAGGGGCGCCCTTCTCTGGCCTCCCCCGCCTGCCCCCTCCCTCAGCCCCGGGGACCGTGTCCTGCCATCCGTAAGGTCCCTGACGCTTCTGCTCCTGAGGTGCCAAGATCTGAAGGTCCAGGGGAGGCGTCCTTTTGAAAGAAGGGGAGATGATAGATGGCGAGATAAATGTTTTGCTTGTACATGGTTAAACCCCTGCTTAAAATGCTTCTGTTTTCTGCAGCACTCGCCTCCCCCCCCCCCCCCCCCCCCTCTCTCTCGCTCTCTCTCTCGAATCCCCCCGGTGTTGTTACTGTGAGGGGAGATGAATAATTCATGGCCAGCGAACACCTCACTGGGTCTAATCACCACTTTAATTGGAGGTTTAGATCAGAGGCGGCTAATAGCTCCTGCGATGGGGACGCCACGGACTGTTGACAGGAGAGTGCGGAGAGCCTTATCGCTGGCCTGCTTCAATTCTCCCAGGACGCCGGCGCAGAACAGCGCTGCTCTCCCCGGCACCGAAGGACACGGACCGCAGGGCCAATTAAATTTATCAGGCCAGAGCTGACAACTAACTTAACCGGGGGCCGCGGGGCCAGCGGAGGACTAATGGTGTTGCTCCTTCCCTGACAGCTGCCTGTCTCGGGCTGCCGGCGTGGGCACTCGGCTCGGCGGGCAGCACACCAGGTGTCCGGGAGTCTGGAAGCCGAAGGAGGAGGCCGGCCCTCCTGCCTGGTTTCTCGGCCAGGAGCAGGAGGAACCCCGTCTGCTTCCCTGGGGCTCCCTCAGCGCTTAATCTCCTTCGAACGGCGTTTGCCCCTCTGCCCCGCCATGCCCGATCTTTGCTGGCATCGCTTGGGAGTCAAATGGACCCTCAGCCGCAGACTTAATTTTTAAATGTCATTTGGGCCCGAGCAGCACAAGTCATTGTCTTCACTCGGAGACTTTAATTGCATAGTTGTCCCGGTATTGCTATAATTAACACCGTCAGCATTTCACCGCCTTTTATAGACCTCTGCTTCCGAAGGTTTGTCATTTTATGTCAGGAGCGAACAAAATAGACCCTTTCTGGAAAGCGTGCGATAAGCCGGTGCTCAGCAGGGGCTTCTTCTAGATTCTGCCTTTATTTTGGCGACACACGAGCAGAATTCAAGTGAGAGGCGTTTGTGTGGTTTTCTCTGGAGCGGAGCGAGGGAGGGGGCGCTGCATATTCCTGGTGCAGAGCTCCCTCTCTTTGCAGTAATTGAATTGTTGTCATGTCTTCAGAGCGCACGCAGCGGCCGTGAATCAGGTTTGGGTGCACAGCTTGCTTGGGAAGACCTGTGAGCCTTTGTCCTCTTCTGTTTTAATTGGCACGGGAAGAAACGGGATCAAAACGCTGCCATGTTTTCTGGCTCTTTGTGCCGGCAGCAGGAAGGGGCCTTTCTTTCGCGGGCCCAAAGCCCGTCGCCGATTAAGATGCCCCGGAAAGGGACAGGCTGCTGATGGGCCATAGGGCCAGCCAAGCAACCGCTGTGTCCCGGTTCTCTGGGGGCTGCTGGCAGACTGTTCCTGGGTCCCCGGGGGGGGGGGGTGTTTTGGTCTGCCCGCAGGGAACTCTGCAGCTCTTCTGGGCACAGAGATAAAGCACGGGCCCCAGCGGAGGTCTCAGCCCTGGACCAAGACGCAACGATGTATGTCTTTGTGGGTCCACTTGGGTCTGCTCCTTTATTGGCTACTGCTGGGACCTTTTCCTCATGAGTAGACCCTCCTCCTAGATGGCCGAAAGGGTCTTTCTGCCTCTGAGCCTGCCACCTGGGCCGCTGATGCTCAGGAGGGAAGTGGCGACCCGAGCAGGGCTGGGCTCAGAGGAGCTTTGGGGCCACAGGCCAGGCCTCCTTGTGTTGCTCCAGGTCTTCCTGCGACGGAGGGGTGTAGCAGGATCAAACCCCCCTCACGCCGGAGGGTTCCCCGCAAACAGCACTGGGGGTACAGTGCCATTCCCTGCACCAAGCAAGCAAAGACGCACCTGGTCTGCAATAGCGAACGCGTCGCGTGCCTTGTGAGCTTTCAGGGGTCGGCAGTCGGGAGAAGCACACGCTGAGGACCGGGGTTTTCCGCTGGAGGAAGGGAACTGCCGCCAGGGGTTCCACAGGCCGAAAAAGCCGTGCGTGAGGGGACTCGCGCCCCCGCCACTCTGCGCTGGCTTGTGCTGCTGGCCAGGCCCCGTCCCTGCCGGTGGCGCCAGGGCCGACTTTCACCCCTCCTCATTTTGCTTTTCCCAGGGTCAGTGGGGACGCCGCTGCCCGGCGTCAAGGTGCGCATCGCCACAGAAAGTCCGCAAAGGGACGGCCTTGCCCCCGTGGTTCACGTGGAAGGGGACGAGTTCGGCACAAAGGTAAGCTGGGGAAGCAGCCGCTCCGGGCCGGGCCTCTCCCCGTTGGCCTCCGCCCTTCAGCGTGCGCCGCCTTGTCAGGCAGAGCGGAATGTGGCTTCCGTTGTTTCAGATGAATGTGAGACCCGGATCTGTCTCTTCTGGTGGACTTGGGGCTATTAGAAGCCATTCTGTCGGTCCTGGGGAGGGATGGCAGTGGAGCTGCAGATGCCCAAGGGAACGCGAAGCAGGGAGCAGCAAAGACTCTCTGTGCTGGCAGGCCGCTTCTGGCCAGAGGAGACGCGTCGCTTACCATCCCCTGCAAAGGCGGGAAAGTTCGCCCGGTCTGAGGCAGATCCTGTCCTGCTACAGCCACAGGAGGACCTTTCAGTGGAGGCCGGGGCCAAGGCCGTCGCGCCGTTGTGTTCCCATCACTGCGTGTGAGTGTGCAGGTGGACAGTGCAGAGAGCTGGCCGGGAGAAAATGGGGCCATTCCAAACGTGCTGCTGGAGGAAAGCTGGACAAATATCCCGGACCAGCAGAAGGAGAAAAAGTCCTCCTCGCTCAGATCAAGCCAGAACCTTTCCCTAGAAACGAAGGTGAAGAAACAGAGGCTGTCGTCCTTCGGGCACGAGCCGTCCCGGGGAGAGTCGAAGGCAGAATGAGAAGAAGGGGCAGCCAGAGACGGGGCGGATGGAGCCATCAGGGAGGCCCCGCCTGGGCTGACGAGAGCTGAGCAAGGCTGTCGGGGCAGGAGGGTTTGGCGGGCCTCCATTCCCAGGGTCTCCATAAGTCGGAGGCACTTTGCCACTGTCCCGCTTCATGCTGATGCAGAGCAACTGGGAATGCAGTGGCATGAGTCTTCTGGGCCCCGGCCTCTGCTGAAACATCCTCATGCTCGCTTATCTTTTCCAGTTCCTTCCTCGCTGCGCTTCCAAGTCTCAGTCTTCTAATTTCTTTGGCTGCAGTCTCCGTTCGAATGGACGACTGAGCCAAGGTACACAAAATCTTTCACGATGTCAGTTTCTTCTTTGTGGACATCAAAGTTGTGTAATTCTTCTGTAGCCATGAGTTTTGACGGCCTTAACTCTGTAAACTTATCCAGCCAGACAATTTTTTCCTCAGCAGAGCGCCAGCGACCTTGGAGGGGTGTGGGAAGGCACCCGGGAGGGCAGTGGGGCAGGGGGTGTGGTTGCCGTCTTCTCCTCTGTGGCAGTGCCCCAGTTTTAGAAAACTGCCCAGCTGGGCTCGCCGGGAGCTCCCTCTGACATCTTTCTGGCACTAAACAAAGGCGTTTTCTTTTCCTCCGCCTTTTAAACATCCGCCAGTCTGTTTAACTTAGTTATTTCTATGGTGCCTCGAGAGATTCTTTTTTAAAAGATAGATTATTCTAATGTATTCCTTTCTCTTGGTGCTTTTATTATTTTACTGTAAACTACCCTAAAAATATGACTTGCCTGGAAAAGTAGAAATCTAAATAACAATGGAATAAAATGGGGCTGCCCGGGTTTAGAAAACTGCTGTCGTGGCGGCAGTGGTCCTGGGCTGGAGGGGGCAGCGCAAGGCGGGCCGGAGGTCCACGTCCGTTCCCTTCCCGTTGCCTCCCATGCGTTTGTCGCACGTTTTGGTTTTTTTCCTCCCACGTTCCTTGTACTAGCAAAAATGCATTGCACTTCTTAGTCCTTATTGTATGCCTCAGTCTCTAATAATCAGCCAAGGAGAAGTAGCAGCTCCTTGGAAAGGAAAAGAAACATTACCGACATAATAATTCTTTTTTCAGATTCTTTGTTTGTTAGGGACTCTAAAGGTCTCAACCAGCCTTGCCCAAGTTGGTGTGTTCCAGTTGTGTTGGACTACAATCTCATCTTCCTTAACCAACCTGCTGGCCAGGGGATCATGGGAACTGTAGCCTCTCATACCTAAGCAAGCCTTGGGTTAGCCTTCAGACTAGGCATTTTTGGCATTATTCCTTATCAGACTGGTAGTCTTTTGCTAAAGCAGGGGTATACAGTCCTTGGCCTACATCACCCATCAGCCCTAGCCAGCAGGCTGGACATCAGGAAACGCTTCCTCCCTGTCAGAGCAATACGACAGTGGAAACAGCTGCCTGGAGAGGTGGTGGACTCTCCCACACTGGAGACATCTGAATGGGGTGGTGTAAACTGGTGACTTGTAACAACCGGGGTTTGGGCCTCATGGCCTTCTGGCTCCTTCCAATTCTGCTATCTATGAGTATGTGAAGGATGATGGGAATCATAGGCCCAGACATTTGGAGAACCATAAACGGTCTGCCTCTGTATACAGGATTGCTCTTATTAGCTCTTGTCCTATGATCCACTTAGCTGAGAGTAAGTGACATTGAACTCGGTGGGACTTCTGAGCAGGCACATCCAGGATTCGACTCTAAGGGGCCCTTTCCAATATAGAATAAATGGACCCAGTTCAAGTAGGGAGTCCCAGTTCTGCAAATGTTTTCATCACATTTCCTGAATCTAACCAACGGAGTGCATTTAACCGTACACGGGTTGCTCCAAAACCTCAGCATGGAGCAGAAGATGGAAGTTCCTTCCAACTTTCCCAGATTTGTTTATTATCTCTATTCTTGCTGCAGTCAGTAAACCTCCTGATGATTTTTTTAAAATATTCCATCTGTTTAAAACATTTATGCCCCGTATTTCCATTCTGCAAGATCTTCAAGATGGCTTGCAGTCCAGAATGAAATGGTTTTATGATATAATCTACATTAAGTCAGAAGCCGACAGTCAAAATGCAGTACAATAAGCAGAGCTAGCAGCAATGTTAAAATAGCAACAGAGATTGTATTACTGCTGGCCAAAAGTGTGAGAAATGAAAAGTGTTTTGTCCTGGCACCTGAAAGATAAAAGAGAAGGCACCTGGTAGTTATTTCTGCAAAGGCTTTCCTAAAACGGAGGCAACACCACCCTAGAAAAGACCCTCGCCTGGTTTCCTCAGCAAGGAGCTCATGGATGCCTCTCGGGAGGCGGGCTCTCCAAAACTTCATGCGTCGACAATTTTAACAACAGCTAATGCTTCAGCATGCCCTGCTCTGCTTAGCTTTTGTTTCTAGAACTCCTCAGAACAACTTAAAGGGATCACCATGAAATCTGCACCTCTAAAGAAAAGATCGAGAAACCATCAGGATAACGAAATTTTGTGGGAAGGCCTCTCATGCTTGCGCCAGGAAGTCGCGCCTGGCAGTCCGGGAGCTGCACGATGGTACAGCCAAAGAGCTGATGGAACTTGCGCCACTGGCTTCTGGCACAACCAGAGATCAATAATCTACTTAGTGGGAAGTGTTCTCGCCCTCTCTCTCCCTGCCTTCTTCCTTCCACTTTGCTTCATTAGAGAGCTGGCAGAGTCCTCCTGTGAGCTTCAGCCACCATCCCCAGTTTCCGATTTGGCTTCAGTGGCTGTTAACCTCCATATAAGGCGATGGTCCTCAACAGACCAGAATCGGAGGCGAGAAGCAGGAACAGTCCTAGCTCTGGTGCAAAGCGCAGCTTTTAAACATGCAGCACAAGTGTGTTGTGAAGACACAAGGGAGAGACTGCAGGAGCGCCCAGATGCTCAACCGTGTTGTTAGTCCGGAACCTTTTTCGTTCCTCCCGCCCGTATTGCGCGATGCATCGCTGTTATCCCAGAGGTTTTGCCAATCTGCTGGTGGGGTCTGAAGGGAAGGTGAGGAACCCGGACAAAGATTTCGGAAACGCTGCAGGTAGATCCCTGAGCGGAAGTCTTGGCTCTCTGGGCGGCCCTGAGGAAGAAACCAAATTCTGTGGATTATGGGGGAAAGGCAAGGGAAGAAGGACGGCTGGTGCCACAGCGCCTTTCTCTCGCAGGTGGGCAACTTGCAGCCCCCCAGATGTTTGGGTCTGCAGCCTCCAAACCGAGCTCGAAGGCACCACACTAGGAAGGAGCTCCTCTCGTTCAGGCGCGGCGGTGGCATCAGCGGAGGCGCATGGATGTCTCTTCAGGAGGCCGGACTCACTGCGGAAGACAAGCACGCTCGGGAGAGACTGACTGTGGGACGGATTGGGCCCATGAAGGAAGTGACAACCTTGAGCTGAGCAGGGCTGTGAAGGGCAGGACGCTTTGGCGGGCTTCCGTTCGTGGGGCTGTCGTAAATCGGAGACGATCTGATGGCACGCAGCAACAATGCAGTTATCCATGGGTTATGGATGGTGTAGGGAGACGAGGTTTTCTCTCTATTAATATTCAGACTTGGGGTCCTCCAATGACACCTCTTGGCAGTAAATGTAAAGCAAACCGTTCCTTTCTTCCATGTGGAGTTAATGGATTTTACTGCCACAAAACGCGCTCACGACCAGAGGCTTAGACAGCTGTAAAAGGGAATGGAGAAATGCACGGAGGGGGAGTCGCTAAGCCCACCGTGGCTCAAGGGGGGTGGCATACCTGTGGTTTGCGCCCGTGAGGCGTGGCAGGGGAGGCATCTTCGTGACCTGCTTGTACATTTCTTGGGCGCTTGACATACCCTCACCGGGGCTTCGCTCCCTCGCTGCAGCAGGGCCTGGCGCCTCCAGTCCTCCTGAAAGCCAGTCCTCAAAAGGGTGGGGGGGTGTTCTGGAGAAACTGGCAAGAGGACTGGATGTGTTTTTCCTTCCCTCTTGCTCTGCTAGGCAAGCGGCCTCATCCTGGCTCAGCGCAGGGGGTGTCCAGGCAAGCCCTTCCCTTTATCAAGGGCAGCAGAGAAGAATTCACTGGGAAATGCCCCCTCCCTGGCTTCCTCTCTCGCCCTTGTCCTCTGGCTTGATGCGACCCTCTGCGTGTCGCACAGAAACACTGCTTCCTTTGCAGGGAGCCCTCTTGTCCCCGTGGCCACGCCCGGGACCCCCGCTTCCTCACCTTGACGGCACCGCATGCAGCGCAGGGCTTCTCCCCCCCCCCCCGCCCTCGCCTTCTACTCGCCAGCCCTGGATGCTTCGACTGGCTTTCTTTCCCGCGATGCATATTTCATAGGCTGTAGCTTCCCAGCTGGCAGGAGC